AGTGGGGTGGGAATGGAGATTTTGCAATCTCCTTCCCTTGGAGTGGGGTGGGAATGGAGATTTTGCAGTATCCTTCCCCTGCCACGCCCATCGATCCACGCTCACAGAACCAGTAGTAAAAAAAATTGAATTTCACCACTGGTTTAAGATCTATGCAATGCTCTGGATTTGAAGAGCAAAAGGTGTTTTGAATTCAATTCTTCCTCCTAGGAAGTACTTGTGAGGTTTGCAACACATCATTGCCTGTCGAAGCCAAAGTTCTGCTCCAAAGGTTACCACAAAGGTACTCTCCAATCTTCATCCTCCCTTTAATGACTTGCATTACAGATGGACAACTCATGGTCCATGTCCTACACATAGCAACAAAGCACCTCATCTGCAGCTCTCCAAGAGCAGAGTAAGCAGGGCTGAACATTTCAGATCTGCTCATTTTATTGAGGATAGGGACAGAGGTGGTATTCAACTGGTTCTGACCTATTCTAGCGAACTGGTAGCGGAAATTTTGAATAGTTCGGAGAACCAGCAAACACCACCTCTGGCTGGCCCCACCCCTGATCTATTCGCTGCATCCCAGCTGATTGGCTGAGTCTTCTTTTGTTGCCCTGCACAGGAGAATGAAGGTGGAAAGCAGTTTAGTGGGGTGAGGTGGGAAGGGAATGTGGATTTTGCAGTATCCTTTCCCCGCCATGCCCAACAAGCCATGCCCACAGAACCGATTTTGAATTTTTGAATTCCACCACTGGGGAGGGGGCCTCAGGCGAAAATACATACTGTAGGCTTGAGGCACTTATACATATTAGCACCCCTTAAAGCTAACCTCCCCAAACTCAGCCACATTTGCCTTTTGGAGAGGCCTACGGGACAAAAAGCATCTCTTTAGCTCCAAATCATCCCTTTTACCCTTGAAAAATCTTCCCCCAAACCAGTTCTTCAATAGAGGGTCCAGAAAGACATTGCTCCCCCACAATTAAGGCTTACCAAAACAGAGCGGTGTTTTCGGCTTTTGCTTGGGGGTAGCCACGCTGACCTGCAAAGAAAGGAAATGGAAATGGGCTGCTGATGCGGTTGCCTGAGTTGTTTTAGTCTTGGTTTTAGAAAGGAGATTGTAAGCCAGAAGGGGTGGAGTCAAGAGAGGAATTAACCTGGAGCCCCACAGTCCAACCCCTCTAGAATTCTGTTAACTCTTTATCGAGCTCCAAAGTAGTGCTCTACATACATCTAATCTAGTTAACTATTAGTTAACTAGATTCTTGTGTATAGGCACAAGCAATAGATCAGCTTAACTGGAACTTGACAAGTGGTCCTCCCCTGACAGAGACAGGCTGTTTATGCATTTTGAGAGGACCACATTCTCTCTCCTGCCAACCTCAACATCCCAGTCCTGTTGCACCTAGAGAGGGTGGCCAAACCTACTGCCACTAATTTAAGAAAGAGTTCGGCCTATAACTGAAGCCAGTTACAGAGCAATGAGGTGAGAAAGCTGGTGAGATAATTAACTCAGTCCAAAGAACAGGTCTAGTGACTTCCTTCTCCTCCAATTCCTTTTATCCTCAATTTATTTTGCTCACTCTTTTTATCGCATCCTACCTCTACGGAGTTCATGGCAGGATATAAATTGCAAAAATCAGTTCCAACAAATGCATGCATGTTGGCCATTTATTTTTTAGCTTCACTTCCATAGGCTGATCCTTAGCCATCAAGATGATGAAGAACCTCAATCTGAGGTAATCAGGTTGAGGTTGCTCATGTTCTGGCCCAGCTCTTTGAACACGACAAACCCTCTGAAGTGAACTCAAAGATTTATTTAATTAGGAGTACTGGCAGCCCAGCAAAAAAAAGTTTCTCTCTCACCGCAGGCTAACACGTCTGTCCGGCAGGGAGATGAATAGTTGTCTGCCATATCTATTCATCTCTGCCCCCTGCCTTTTATCCCAAGAACTAGGCTGGGGCTTCACTAGCAGTGGTGGCTCTTCCATCCCAAGGACCAGCCCATAGATTTCCACTGCTCTCCTCTCCTTTGCCTTCCATGCATCAGGGACGGCACCCAGCGACCTGGGGGCTGTTGACTCTCCATCTGAGGGCTGATGGAAGGCCCAGGCTCTGCCTCTGTCTAACCCTAACCCTAACCCTTAACTTCCTCCTCCTATGATTTGGCTGCTGGAGGGGCCATCAGCTGACTAGCCACAACAGCTCATCAGTTGAATGGGTAAGGATTAGCCTATAGCAGCAATGGCGAACGTTTTTTGGCTTGCGTGCCATAAGGGGGGAAAGGCAGGGGGGGTGCGCATGGGCGTGCTGCACCCATAATGCAATGCGGGGGGGTTGCCCGTGCCCATGTGCGCATGAGAGGCGCTCTCCCCCATTTTTTGCATGCTCTTTTCGCTCTCCCCAGGCTCCAGAGGCTTTATAGGAGTCTGGAAAGGGCGAAAACAGCCTCCCCCACCCTCCCCAGAGGCCCTCCGGAGGCTTTAGGGACCTTCAGGATGCTTTCCTGAAGCCTCTGGAAGACTAAAAAGGACCCTACGAGCAAACTGGAAGTCACTTCCGGTTTGCTCGTAGGACCAGTTTAAGCCCTCCAGAGGCTTCAGGGAAACCTCCTGAAGGTCCCTGAAGCTTAAACCGACCTTACGAACAAACCGGAAGTCTGTTCCTGAACTTTTGGTTTGCCCATAGGGCTGGTTTTTTGTGCTCTGGAGGCTTCAGGGAAGCCTCTGGAACCTAGGGAGGGCGAAAATGGCTTTTAAAAAGGCTGAACTCAGCTGGCCAGCACGCGCATGCACCCTGGCCAGCTGACAGGGCAACACCTTGCGTGCCCTGACTAATGGCTCCGTGTGCCACCTATGGTACGTGTGCCATAGGTTCGCCATCCCGGGCCTATAGTAACCAATAATCTTCTTTCCTGAGAAATAGCTTCTATTAAGAAACATATGTACTTTTCCTATTGCTGCCTAATGCTTACTCAGCTTCATGTCAGAAATGAAAAGACCTGTGCTTGTGAGACACACCACCACCTATCCATCCTGGCCAAGCGTTCTCCTTACTGAGTTATATGTTTGTTTAATTATGAGGCAAAGAGGTGGAACTCTTAAAAACACAATTACAAAAATTATAAGGACCAGAAACTCAGGGGAATCATTAGGACTAACAATAGGTTCCCTGGGGTTGTCACAAAACTCTGTTGTAACCTTACCTTAGAGATATAGGTCAGTTGTAGAGATCCTACTGCTTTTGAGCCTACAGCCAGATTCTGAAATGAAAGTAAAAAAAAAAAATTTAACTGCCCATCCCAGGGATGGAGTTCTCACTTTGCTTATTTGGAAGTGAAAGGCGATGTCCCTTTCCAATCAAGCTCAAGTGTTCCTAACTTTCTGAACACCCAACAGAGTTTCTTGGCAGTAACACAGATGTTGTGGTGCTTTAACATCCACAAAAATAAAATCGGAAGTCCGAACTTCCATTCAGTAGTAGCTACACTCCCTGGAGTTTGACCTGCGATGTTCATTGTTTGCCCTTCAGCTTTTTCAAGAAGTGAAGGATGGCTGTCAAAAGATCTATCTCACGTTATCGAAGGTTTATCCCACTTTATCTGCAATGTGAAATTATTCTGGTCTAGAGCAAGGGATGTCCAACCTTGGCAACTTTAAGACTTGTGGACTTCAACTTCCAGAATTCCTCAGCCAGCAAAGTCTTAAAGTTGCCAAGGTTGAAATCCCCCTGGTTTAGAGTCATACCTTGTTCTGGCCATTGATAGTCTTCTGAGACCATCATTGTAACTCTGGAGCTAGGTACACAGCCGTTAATTTTTTCACCCCCAATAATGACTGTAACTATCTCTTTCGGAAAACTGCACTATGCACTCTAACTCACACAAGGTTAAGCTTCCCTTCCTTAGCTAATCTGTAGGGGGAAATGAGTAGAAAAATTGGAGTGCTATTGCCAATAAAGTTAAATACTTGAACCAGTGGTTGTTGTTGTTGTTGTTTTTTAACTCTGGCAACTTTAAATTGGGTGGACTTCAACTGCCTTGGGAATTCTGGGGTTTGAAGTTCAGCTCTCTTAAAGTTGTCAACATTGAGCAACATTGATTTTTAGACAATTCTCATTTTTACCCAACAATGGTGGCTAGAGTTGGGAATTCTGAGAATAGCAATATAAGCTAATTGCTGGAGCAGGTTTAAAATTATCGTCCTTTTTCCGAAGATAATGGAGAACTGTGGGGTTGGTCACAATTTTGCAAATTCAGCTTTTGCAAATAAAAGAACTTTTCTCTTCATTCCAGATTTCCCTCCCCAAATATTTAGGCTACCAGGTTCAGATAGTCTTCAACTTACAACAGTTCATTCAGTGGCTGTTCAAAGTTACAACAGCACTAAAACAAGGGACTTATGATAGTTTTTCACACTTACGACCAGTGGTGGGATGCTGGGAGCACCAGGCACTGTTCCGATATGGTGCTCCGGAGGGCCCGCTCTCCTTACCGCTATTTGAGCCGATCGGGGCTTTCACGCATGCGCACAGAGCATACGAACCTGCGCAACGTTCCGCCGAGCAGCTGAAGCATCAAGGGAGATAAGTACACATGTGTGCGCTGCACGTGTGCTGCACGGATTCATGTAGTGGACGCTGGGCTCCATTGCAGCGTATTTATGACAGTTGTGGTGTCCTGGGGTCATGTGATTCCCCTTTTGCGATCTTCTTACAAGCAAAATAAATGGGGAAGCCTGATTCACTTAACAACCATGACGTTATGAATCACTTAACTGCAGTGATTCATTTAACAACTGTGACATGAGCCATGGGGCGCAAGTGGTTAGAATGCAGTATTGCAGACTAACTCTGCCAAGTGTCAGCAGTTCGAGCTTGACTGGCTCAAGGTTGACTCAGCCTTCCAACCTTCCGAGGTTGGTAAAATGAGGACCCAGATCACAATATGCTGACTCTGTAAACAGCTTAGAGTGGGCTGTAAAACACTATAAAGAGGTATGGAATAGAATAGAATAGAATAGAATAGAATAGAATAGAATAGAATAGAATAGAACACTTAGTGATAGTCATAGGTTACTAATAAGCAATCAAATTATACTAGGAAACAAATAAAACAATATCAATTTTAAAGATACAAGCAAAATGATTATAGTCATAAGTAGAGAGAGATAGGTACTAGGAAGGAAGATAATAATAATAATAATAATAATAATAATAATAATAATAATAATAATAATAATAAATTATATATAGCACAGACTGATTATAAATTGCGGCACAATTCAGTNTGAGTCAACCTTGAGCCGGTGAGATTAGAACTGCTGAACTGCAGATAACAGTCAGCTGAAGTGGCCTGCAGTACTGCACCCTAACCACTGCGCTAACTCGGCTCCTCACCATCCGATTTCATATTAGGAACTTCTAACATCCAGCTACGGTTGTACCAGTGGTGGGTTTCAATTTTTTTTAGAACCTCTACTATAGGTGTGGTCTGCTTTGTGGGAGTGGCTTGGTAGCCATGTGACCGGGTGGGAGTGGCTTGCCAGCCATGTGACTGGATAGCCATGGCCAAATTGTAAAATGTGGTGAAACTCACTTAACAACGCTCTTGCTTAGCAACCAAAATGTTGGTTCGGAAACTCTGGCATTGAAGTGTACAGGTCTTAAAGCTGTCAAGTTATAACCCTTTAGAAAAAAAAAACCCAGGGGTGTTCAAACTTGACAGCTTTAAGACTTGTGGACTTCAACTCACAGAATTCTCCAGCCAGCATAACATACTCTCTTGTAATCCCTTCCTCTTCAATCTCTCCACTTAGATCAGAGGTCTTCAAACTTGGCAATGGACTTCAACTTCCAGAATTCTCCAGCCAGCTATGCTGGCTGGAGAATTATGGGAGTTGAAGTCCACAAGTCTTAAAGTTGCCAAGTTGGGGGATCCCTGTACTAAAATAACAACAAAAACAAGCTTTCCATGGCTACAGGATGGCATAAATCACTCAGAATTATCTACCCTTAACTGTTCTATCTGATCTACTTGACTGAATGAGGTCAATACAATGCAACCTAGTAACTTTCAGTCTTTAATCCACAGGTCATTGAGGACAACTCAACGTTGCATTACTTTAAACTCTTTGGAGAAATGTGAGGAATCAGAGATCTTATTCTAACTCTCCTAACATTTGTGCAGCTTCTTAAATCTTGCAATCAGTGCATCATCTGGTATAAATCCCAGATAAATGTTTCTGAAGCAGTATTCATGAGAAAGTGGCTTGTCCAAGCGTAACCCAATGAATTCCTAGGCAAAATGGACATTGCAAATGGGGACTACTCAATGTATAGCCCTTCCCCAAGCCTTCCCCAACCATCACTATGATGGCTGGGAACTTTGCAAGTTGCGGTCTGATGCAATCAAAAGGCTGCCCTACACTGTACACATTCTTATGTTTGCATAGTTATTTCCTAGAAAAGATTGAAGAACAAACACTTTCAATGCTCTACTTCAAAGAATGTTCTGCTAAAGGTTTACTCAGGCTAAATCACACAGGCCATGTGATGGAGGACTCTAGGAGCCTGGAAAATATCAAGAATTGTGGTCCCCTGCAAATGTGCATGGCAAGAAGGCTTCGGAGATCTTTCAAAATTTCTCAAAATTTGCAGCGTGATGAATGCAAGGTCACAATCAGAATCCCACCCCTTGCACAATGAGTGAGAGGGTAACCATGATGTCATGCCCCTCTTGCAGATTTTGACCCCGATCGAGAAAACAACCTATGATGCATTGCAGATTAAAATACCTATGAAGATGATTCAGGAACAATGATCAGCACAATTGGCAGATCTTTAACCAGTGCAACCAGGCATATCATATTTTTCGGAGTATCACCCTCAAAAAAGAGGGTGAAAATCTGGGTGTGTCTTATACACTGAATACAGCATTTTTTGCCTCCCAAAACCCCACCCTCTTCACCAAATGGCCATGCATAGTCTTTAGGAGACTTATAGAGTATTCCTGAGGATTAGGGAGACCAGAAATGAGCAAAAAACAGCCTGTTTTTTGCTCAATTTTGCCCCTCCCCAACCCCCAGGAGCACTCTATAAGCTTCCTAAAGACTATGCATGCCTTTTTTTAGACAAAAAATGGACCATTTTTTGCTTATTTTTGCTCCCCCCCCCCAGGAGCACTCTATAAGCCTCCTAAAGGCGATTCATGTACTTTTTTTAAAAAAAAGAGCCGTTTTCGGAAGGTTTGCAGAATGCAAAAACTTTTTTTTTTAAATTTGCCTCTTCAAAATCTTGGTGTGTCTTATATTCTGAAAAATGCGGTAAATTTTACCAGCTTCTGAAATAGCTTCACTGGTTGCCTGGCCACATGGGAGCTCTGACGCTTCGAAGTTTTACATAGCTGGGACACAATTCCAGAAGGTGTGTCTCTTTGTACCTTCCTACTATAACCTGCCATACCAACTTCCCAGGAGCCTCTGGTGCATGTAGTCTTGCCAGGGGATTTCACCATAAGAAGTCTTCTCTCTGATGGCCACAGGACTACAGAAGGTTCATTCCATTCCAATGTAGCTGGGGCCAATGCTACCAATTTTGTGCTCTCAGTCTTACAGCGTATTCCCTCCAGGTATTTTAAAGTTACTTTGTAATTTACATGTTGTTTTCTTTCCTTTAAAATCTCTACAGAAGATACTTTACTGTACTGAAGTTATTCCTAACAGATGTGTGGCCAATCTGGATATGTCATCCCACTGATGGTCAGGGTTGATTCAGCTCATATACAGCCTTCTAAGCGATAGCCCTTAGACTTAAGGGACACAGTGACTCTGTAGCTGAGACGCTGAGCTTGTCAATCAGAAAAGTCATCAGTTCTGCAGTTCGAATCCCTAGCATCGCATAACAGAGTGAGCTCCCATTACTTGTCCCAGCTTCTGCCAATCTAGCAGTTCNCCAACCCCCAGCCCAAGCAGGAGACCCCACACCATTTCTGACAGATGGCCGTCCAGTCTCTTCTTGAAAGCCTCCAGTGTTGGAGCATCCACAACCTCCGAAGGCAATTTCTGTTCCATGGGTTGATTGTTCTCACTGTCAGAAAATTTCTCCTTATTTTTATGTTGGATCTCTCCTTGATCAGTTTCCATCCATTATTCCTTGTCTGGCCTTCAGGTGCTTTGGAGAATAGCTTGACCGCCCCTCCTCTCTGTGGCAGCCCCTCAAATATTGGAAGACTGCTATCCTTCTCTTCACTTGACTAGCCATGCCCAGTTCCTGCAACTGTTCATCGTATGTTTTTAGCCCCCAGTCCCCTAGTCATCTTTGTTGCTCTTCTCTGCACTCTTTCTAGAGTCTCAACATCTTTTTAATAGTGTTGTGACCAAAACTGGATGCAGTACTTAGGTGTGGCTTTATAGAGTGGTATTAGTACCTCCCTTGATCTTGATTGAATCCCTCTGTTAATGCAATTTAGGATTGCATTGGCTTTTTGCTTTTTTTAAATACATGACTTGTTTTTTTAATGCATGACAGCTGCAGTTAGATGACTATATGCTCAAAAGTGAAAAAAAGTTGATACTACCCACAACAGAGGAGCGGTTGGTGAAGATGCTGGAACTTGCAAAGAGGGTTAAATTGGTTTCCTCTATTAGACAATGGCAATGATTCATGGCTGGCTGCAAATCCCTTACAGACGTTTTGCATGAAAACAGAAAATAATACACTTACGACTTTCAGTTTTGATTATTAGGGGAAAAAATAGATAATAGAAAAAAACAGGAGAAGGCTGGTTTTTGTAATCATAAAACAAAAGACATCTTTGTAATCACACTTCTATTTGCTGCAAAAGAAATCAGAAGTTTCTTCTTTCTATTTTTATTTCTTTCTTTTTTGCACTTTTCACTTTTGGGCATGTCATTGTTTCACTGTAGCTGTCATGTATAGAAGAAAGTTTCCATTACGCCTAAAAGAAAACATCTGGTTTCAATTGTACTTTAATCTTTAAAATCTTCAGAATTAATATATGTTTCTGTCTATCTTTTCTCAAAACAGTCTGGAAAAATCACCCAAAGATACGGTCATTTGTCTACTTGCAAAACAATAGAATCAACATAATTGCATCACTTGGATAATTTTGCATTGTTGCAAATGAAGTAAATATGACTCAACGGACATCATTATGTCAATCACCAAATTACCGAAAGGGACAAATCATGCCAATTACATCAATTTGGATTTAATGAACATTTGGATTTTAGAAGTCATATTTTTTAATGATTCATAAAATTATGGCTTTACTGTCTACTGAAATATACGTACTTTAGGTTTACTTCTGCTTTCTGGCATATAAATCACACATCTAGATTATTTATTTACACATACATACATATCTCTATCAGAGATAGCAATAGCACATATACCGTTTCATAGTGCTTTACAACTGTCTCTAAGCTGTTTACAGAGTCAGCCTCTTGCCCCCAACAATTTGGGGCTTCATTTTACTCACCCTGGAAGGATGGAAGGCTGAGTCAACCTTGAACCGGTGAGATGTGAACTGCTGAACTGCAGCTAGCACTCAGCTGAAGTAGCCTGCAGTACTGCACTCTAACCACTGCACCACCTCGGCTCTTATAACAAGATAATAGGTTATGAACTTTGACACCTATCTGGATGTCCTATAAACATTGTAGACATGTTTAACTGAGCAGGGATCTATTTAAGTGCAATTAGAGAGTTGGATTTAAAACATACTCTCCATTTATCGACCATTTGAAAAGCTGTCTGTTAAATCTAAACGTCCATTAAATCCAAATCTAATCTGATGGTTGACATAATGATTTGTCTTTGATATTGATTCTAAAGTTACACAAATAGATACACAAATGTATCCTTTGGTAATTTTACAGACTGTTTCAGAAACAGTCCTGGACAGGAACATACATTCATTCTGAAGATTTTAAAGATTAAAGTACAATTGTATCTTTCAATAATTTTGAGGGCAAAGGCAGTTTGAACAGAAAGTCATTTACAATTTTTGAACCACATGCATTAAATGCTTTCATGTGTCTGCAGAAATATCATTTGTAACTGGAAGTTAGTTCCATGAGAAAGTTGAAAAACAGACAGACAGAAACAGAGAGAGGGGAGGGAGGGAGGGAGGGAGGGAGAGGGGGGGAAAGGCATCGATAATCATAGCATTTAGACATATATTGCTTTACAGCTCTCTCTAAATGGTTTACCCGCATTTACCTCTTGCCCCCAACAATCTGGGTCCTCATTTTACCCACCTCAGAAGGATGGAAGGCTGAGTCAACCTTGAGCCAGTCAGAATCGAACTGCTGGCAGTGAGCAGAGATTAGCCTGCCATACTTCATTCTAACCACTACGTCACCAGTGCTCTTGAATGAGGGTTTTTAGGACAAAATGCTTAGAGAGAGTGACTCACCTGAGGATTGTCCATGTACCATAAAAGGCTGTTGATTTTGGTATCCAGGATGAAATACCGACGGAGGAACTTCCCACAAGTTTCATTATCCTCAATATCCAGGAATCCGCAAATTCGATTCTGACGGTCTACATAAGGCATTCCGAGGCACTGCTAGCATCCCTCTGTGAAGGGGGAGGAACAGAGAGTGAGGGCCAGGCCTTCTGCACACCAAGACATCTTGCACTGTGCCAGTTCTTTAAAAATTCTCCCGAGCAGATCTGTGGTCATATGACCCACAGACAGCTTTGTGCATTGTGTTACAACATCAAGTGGCTTTTTTCAGGCTGAGCTTAGTGGTTAGGGGAATCCAGCCAACTGGGGGCTGCTTAATAAACCATGAATAAGCAAAACCATTCTGTTCCTTTTTCCTTGCTTAGGACTCCAAGGGGAAAGGAAAGGAAATCCACAAAGCAGCGCGCAGGTTTGCTTTCGTGGGCCATATCACCATGTCAACTTCAGACAACAGACGGTTGTGTTGGTCTTCAGATTTCACATTCAGTTTCTCCTTCCTTTAAGACGCTACACATATGCAGGGATAATACCAGGGGTGGGCTGCTGGGGGTTCGGGAGAATCTCTAGCTAAGATTCTGTGCAATTTGGAGAACCCCCAAATCTGTTGTGGCCCAACAGCGGCCGGCTGAGCTGTTGGTGGAATCTGACAGCGATAAACACTATGGGACTGCCCTGGAGGCTGAGGAAGACGCTGGGGGGTGTTCGGAGTCAGAGAAGGGACTAGAGAGGCCTGTCGGCCACCAGATGGCGTCTGAGTCAGGGAACAGTGAGGAAGAACAGAGGGAGGCTGTCCCTGACATACGTATGCATAGGGCTGCGAGGAGGAGGGAGCAGCTTTGGAAAAA